TCTGTAGGCAAGATTCATTTAGTTATTACTAAGACGGATGACTTGTCGCTCTAAAAAAGATCTAAACATGTAAACAATTATGCGCATAAAATTTTTTTAGTGAATTTATTTAAAATTATGAATAAAATAAATAGCATGTAAAACAAGTCAAAACAATCATATATTTTGTAACATTGCCAAATAAACATAATATATTTATTTTTTTAATTTAATATTTCTTCTTCTGGCACAAAAAAAAATAATAGTCATAGTTTAGTTAAAAATAATTTTGCTCAGCAAGCGCTTCAAGGAAAAATGTATGTTCGGCTCCCGCGGACAGTCAAAAATCATATAATACAACAAAAATTTAAAGTAAATAATTCTTTATCCAAACACGAATAAAAATGTTAGTGTAGAAAAATCAAAAAAATTATTTAAGTTAAATAATATGTCTTTAAAAGTTTAAAAGTGCAAAATAAAATTTCAAAACTAGCTATGTAAAAGCTTGAAACTTATTTGTTTCATACTCTGCTATTTTTATCACTGTGCAAAACAAATATGCAAATGCTACAAGCTCTCTGCCCTAGTTATCACTCATCAGTTAATTCTATCAAATCTCACTAAAGAGCAGGCTGGTATAATAAGAGTCTTGCTTGCTTGCACTAGTTGCACGTTGCACCTATTAACTTTAGAATGTTCAAGCMTTGTTTGTTTTTTCTCTTTAGCCCACGTGTAACATAAACAAAATACATGTATACAAAATCATTTTTTTTTTTATTATTATCTTTGAGCAAAATTACCTATTACAAAAATTATAGAATACAATATTTTTGGGGGTAAGAYATATCGATTAGTCTAAATATTGTCTCAAAACAATTTATGAAACGTTTAAGTTTGCATTTATTTTTATTTTTAAAGTTTCATAAAAAGTCAAATATGTAATAATAGTATTACATTGATTATTAACACTAATATTTATAATAAATGGTAATAGTAAAATTTAAAAGCGATGTGTCATACCCTGATAAATATAATTCTCTATAATTTTTGTAATTGAAGATTTGGTCACCTACTCAAAAGTTACAAAACTGATTTTACGTGTTTGATCTACCGTACGGATTCGTAACAGAAAACAAATATTATTGCGCTCATATCCTCTTAAGGCAGGGGTCARCAACTTTTTTGACGGAAGARCCAAAAACAATATACAAARTTTTTCTAATTTTAAAGAGCCATTTAAAATTTTCGTAATTTTTCAAATATAATTTTATTTTTAAACTTTAAAATAGCTATAACAATACAATTTTACAGWTTTTAATTAATGGATTACATCAAGAGAGATACATAAAGGTTTAAATCAATGGGAGCATTAGATTTGCTCGTCTTTTGAAAGTTTAGTTAAGTCTCGCTCATAAGTTGTTGTTTTAAGTATCAAGTTGTTATTAAGTAGGTATTATTTCATATTTTCAAAAGCAACAAAAATAATATAAATTTTTTATATTATAAAATATTGTTTTTAAACATAAAATATAA